CCCTCTAGTCTTACACTGCTAAATTAGGGACGGCTAGCGCAGATAGCCCTCGTGTAGCTTTGACGCGAAATTCAAAACAAACAAACAAGCAAACTCATAAGCAAGTAAAATTCATTAGCAATTACTCAATCTTCTACATAAGATTGAACAACAACAAGAAGAAAAAATTCTGGAAAATGAAACACATCGGGGATGTTGTCACGTGGTTTTCCGGACTTTAGTTCATTCGGTAGGAGGCGCTTCATAAGAAAAAATAATTTTAGAGAAAAATGAAATAAAACGGTCATAAATAATTGCTACAGATTTATGTAGCTTCTATCAGCAAAAATACACAAGGCAGAGAAACAGGACTGTTCCCTTTTAACAATTTTGTTTGAATAATGTCCAGGCAGTGTGTCCATTTCAATTTGTACAGCTAACCCTCTTATGAGAAATCACTGTACAAACATTCGCTGCGGTTTTAAACAACCAAATCTGGTTCAGCACAGAACATCAAAGTAATAACACATTCCAGTCTCAGGTTCAATTAAGAATACTCTTTGTTCGATCGTCTTTTGTAAATAAACTAGTACTGAATTATACTCTCTCAAAATTACGAACCCACAAGCAAACTTTGACTAATTAATGAACTCTCAACGAAGGTATTATGATGAAAATAATTAACCTTCCTATTAACAAGATATTAAACAACAAACATATATAGCCAACATGATTTATGTACGTCTCCTTTAGTTGCTATAAGTGACGTATTTCTAATATGTAAAATCAAACAAAATCCAATGATTAATTTTTAAACAGTAATTACAGTTTGGTAATAAAAGGGTTAATTACGTTACTAGTACTTTAAAGCAAAACAATTATAACAAAACAAATTTCAAACACTTGTTCTTAAGCAACAACACTAATAACCATAATACAAACATTTCATTGATTAAATCCTTCTATTCAGAACAGTAGTCTTGCCCAGGATACTTCCTGACTATACCACAATATTGTATTATGACACAAGGCACTTTACAATATTGTGGTATAGCTGGAGTGGTAGAGTGCCTTGTGTCATAATACAATATTGTGGTATAGCTGGAGTGGTAAAGTGCCTTGTGTCATAATACAATATTATGGTATAGCTGGTGTGGTAAAGTGCCTTGTGTCATAATACAATATTGTGGTATAGTTGGAGTGGTAAAGTGCCTTGTGTCATAATACAATATTATGGTATAGCTGGTGTAGTAAAGTGCCCTGTGTCATAATACAATATTGTGGTATAGTTGGAGTGGTAAAGTGCCCTGTGTCATAATATGTGGTATAGCTGGAGTGGTAAAGTGCCTTGTGTCATAATACATTATGACCCAAGGCACTTTACCACACCAGCTATGCCACAATATTGTATTATGACACAGGGCACTTTACCACTCCAACTATACCACAATATTGTATTATGACACAGGGCACTTTACTACACCAGCTATACCATAATATTGTATTATGACACAAGGCACTTTACCACTCCAGCTATACCAGAGTATTACATTATGACACAAGGCACTTTACCACTCCAGCTATACCAGAGTATTACATTATGACACAAGGCACTTTACCACTCCAGCTATACCAGAGTATACATTATGACACAAGGCACTTTACCACTCCAGCTATACCAGAGTATTACATTATGATACAAGGCACTTTATCACTCCAGCTATACCACAATATTGTATGATGACACAAGACACGTTACCACATCAGCTATACCACACTTCTCCCACACAGAGTATTGCCCCAACAGGTTAGAAAACATTCAACATCTACCCCTTTGTACAACAAACAAACATCATTTTTCTCTCCATCGTCCCAGGACTTTAACTCAATACATGTCCAAGAAAGATCTTTACTTCAAAGGGTTACTTTAGAAAAAGAAGAGGGTACTGTATAGGTAAAGTTAAACAATGTTAAAAATCCGTACGAATTAGCATGAAGAGTCTTAGATTGTACTGTTATTTATCACATTTACTCTATTGACAGCCAAATATATAAAGAATAACAAGGAGAAACAGGAAAGCACTAGAAGGTTCCAGGGGACCTGGCTCCCTGAAAAACTATACTAATTTAGAGCAGCCTTCCGTTATAAAAATGCCACAGTAATGGATAGTGCTTAAAGTGTACTATTTACCCATCCTCACTACGCCAGTAATAACACACCATTGAAGAAAGCCTCATCGCGTCATGATAACTGTAACCATGACTGATTGCTGCGTTTTTTTGATGTAAAAAACCTTACAAATTGAATCCAATTTCAGCAAACGTGGTTTTTAGAAGACTGACTAAACACTTTGACTAACCTTGATTTAAGCCGCTACCTCTTGTTCTCTATGTCTAAACATATAATTTCATTTTAATTTCAGAAGGGGTCACTAGATGGCTATTTAAAAAGACTCCCTAGATAACTCATTGTGAGCAGGTTTTTAACAATTAAAACTGATATGGCTGTCGATACGCCGAGAAGTGTCTTTCATGGAAAACTGTTAGCTAAGGTGTAAAAATATCTATTGATTGGAACACAAGCAATATGGTAAATAATAGAAAGTTTATGTGTTTTTTAAGGAAATACAATAAATATTATAAACGACCAAGTTTAACATATCAGTAATTTTCTGACATTAATGCTGCCATTGAAAATAGTTGTTATAATCACCACTATATTACCTTTATTTCCCTGTTCTGTAGATTCAAGACCATCCACATTGTCATAGGAAGAACTGTTACTGATGTTGGGATCTCTGGGTTCCTCAGTACTTGAAGATTCTCTGGGTGCGCAACCATCCTCGTTGTTATCTCCAGGGTTGTGACCAGAGCTTGAGTTGCAGTCGCCTTCGTCTCTATGGTTACTACTTGGTTTACCGCTTTCCGGACCATTTCTAAGATCCCGTGGTCCCATCCTCGGATAACGACGTTGATGAGTCCGACCAAGGTGAGAATCGTGAACGTTAATATCGCTAAGAATGGGAAATCACCAAAAAATGTTATCTTTCCTGACAGCACCATCGTACAACGTCGTTTGTACATATCTTTACTCCTGACAGTACCAGTTCTAGAGGTTCTGCCTTGCTGGGAGTATAGTTTTACAGCCCAAAACATCCTAATAAAGTTGTTTTTACAACAACATTAGTCTTAAAAAAACCACTTGTATGCACTTACTTCTCTTACCATCGTTTTACAACTTCGGTAATATAGATAACATTGTTTCTACAGCTTCAGTTGTCCTGCTAACATCCTTTCTCACCCTACTGATAACATCGTTTTGTTTTTTGTAACATCAGTCGTCCTAACAACGTCATTCTTGCTACCTCACTCCCAATGATAACACTGTTCCCACAACCTCAGTCGTTTTCACGACCTCACTCCCACTGATAACACTGTTTTTGACATCAGTCATACTGTCAATGTCTTTTTTACTACCTCACTCTCACTGATAGCACTGTTTTTGACATCAGTCGTACTGTCAATGTCTTTTTACTACCTCACTCTCACTGATAACACTGTTTTTATAACATTGGTTGTATTATCTATGTCTTTTTTTACTACCTCAGTCCCACTGATAGCACTGTTTTGGACATCAGTCGTACTGTCAATATCTATTTTTACTATCTCACTCCCACTGATAACACTGTTTTTTACAACAGTCATCCTGCCAAGGTTGTTTATAAAATCTCTGTCGTCATGCCAACATCGGGTTTAGTACCTCAGTCCCACTAAAAGCACTGTTTCTACATCAGTCATCTTGCTAACGTCGTCGTTCAGCCTTTATTCTACTCATGGCACCATTTCCACAAACGTTTATATTTTCATTTTTCCCTGACTGTATTTTACGGTATTACGTATACATAAAACAAGCAATTAGTATTAAAAGTTTTGTTGCTGAGGTTTCAAAACTATAGATGTTGTTTTCATGTTGACTACAAACATATGGCTAAATATGAAAGTGACACGCCAAAAATTACGAGTGGATTGACCTCAAAGAGTGAAATTCGTAACACTGACACGTGTTCTCAAGCCTAAGAAACGAGCGCCTGATTTTACTTAATTTCATGCTTACATTAATTTTCTTAGTAGTATTCTAACGTGTATATCCTTTTTTCTTCTTGCAAAATCCTATACATTGTAAAAACAAATCACCATGACATATTCTTGAGAATTGGAGTAAAATTTGATAAAAAGTAAATCTTTAAAGTATACATATATACCTTCAAATTCAAAACTTAACCTACCTAGTTTAGAAAAAAGGAGAAATGAAATTGCTTCTTCCCACTTCTGGTAAAGAATAAAATAAACCATTAATATAGTAAAACGTTCTTTTTTTTTAATCTCAATACCGGTGCTCTTGTGGAACCAGACGTTGAATAAATATATCACTGAAATTCAAATATCACAATTTACGTGTAAATCTGGACCGCTGCTTGTTTTAATACCAACTCTACACTACACCCCAGCTGATATTATTACGTGTTTCATGTATTAGGTCGTCAAGAAATTAATGTCGCGTTTTGGAACACTTTCATTAACCCCCCCCCCCAAAAAAAACGTACATCACGTATTATAATTAAACCAACCACTTAAACGTCACGTTAATGAAGCCTATATAACGTGTAAAGAGGTTATATACTCTAATTCTTTATAGTAATGGCACACGACGAGACACTCATTCGGCATGTAATGCTGTTTGAGTACAAGAAGGGGAAACAACGCCTCTGTAGCCACAAAGAATATCAAAGTTTATGGAAATGTTTTGAACGTTCGTAAGTGTCAACGGTGGTTCATCAAATTTCGTTTAGGTGACTTTAGCCTTAAGAACTGTGATGGCAGGGACCGACATGTTGGAATTTATATTGATGCTCTGAAGACGCTTGTTGAGTCTAACCCAAGGCAACACACTCGTGAAACGGCCCTGAAATTGCATGTCTTTCATGTAACAATATGTAAACATATAAAAACTCCACAAAGAAGGTGTTTTGGTGCCTCACGGACTCTCCGATGATCATCGTTTCCAACGTGTAAACGTTGTTTCGTCTCTTCTGGCGCATAATGCGCGTGAACCATTTATAGACTGAATTGTCACCGGTGATGAAAAACGGATTCTCT